GCAGGTTCGAGACCCGCTTGGGCAGTGAGACCTCATCTCTACAATAAAATGAAAAAACCAGCCGGGCGTGGTAGTGCATGCCTGTGATTCTGGCTACTTGGAAGGCTGAGGCAGAAAGATCACTGGAGCCCAGCAGGTCGAGGCTGCGGTGGCCAGGAGCGGCCACTGCACTCCAGTCTGGGCAACAGAGTGAGACTCCAACTCAAAAAAAAAAAAAAAAAATTAACTGAATGTAGTGGTGTGCACCTGTAGTTCCAGCTATTCAGAAGGCTGATACGGAAGAATGGCCTGAGCCCAGCGGGTGAGGCTGCGGTGGCTGTGAGTGTGCCACTGCACTCCAGCCTGGGCAACAGAGTGAGACTCTGACCCACCCCCCCAAAAAAAAATTTAGGCATGGTGGTGCACACCTGTAGTCCCAGCTGCTTGGCAGGCTGAGGCGGAAAGATCATTTCAGCCCAGGAGTCTGAGGTTGCAGTAAGCTATGGTGGCAGAACTGCACTCCAGGTTGCGTGACAGAGGGAGATCCTGTCTCTAAAAACAAAACCCAAAAAAACAAAAACAGGAGAAGCGATGCATGCATCGTAGAGAATCTGCCCCGGACCAGGCACGGAGCAAGGAGCAGGAATGAACTCAGCGTCCCAACTGCATGGAAGACTCTTGCAAATGTTATGGCTGAGCAAAGGAAGCCAGATGAACTATGGGGTTCTGTTTGTAGGACATTCAAGAGCAGGCAAACCTACCCTAGGGAATTGGAGGTCAGGGTGGTGGTGAGGGGGGACAGGAATGGGTCTGAAGGGACTTCTGGGAGGAGGGGTTGGGAAATAGCCTATTCTTGATCTGGGTGATGGTTCCCAGGGTGTTTAGCCTATGAAAACTCATCCAACTGTCCACATAAAATCCCTGATAGAGTTCAACTCAAAGTCTACTTTAAGGCCAGGAGAGGTGGCTCACACCTGTAATCTCGGCACTTTGGGAGGCCAAGGTGGGAAGATTGCCTAAGCCTAGGAGTTCAAGACCAGCCTGGGTCAACATAGTGAGACTTCGTCTCTACAAAAAAATACAAAAATTAGCCAGTCATGGTTGTGTGTACCTGAGTCCCAGCTAGCTACTCAGGAGGCTGTGGTAGAAGGATCGCTGGAGCCCAAGAGGTCGAGGCTGCAGTGAGCCAGAATCATGCCACTCCCCTGCACTCCAGCTTGGGTGACAGAGACTGTCACACACACACGCGTAAGTCTACATTTAAAAGATCAGCTCAGGTTTGTGACCAGGCTGGGCAACTTGAGGAGACCTCATCTCTACAATAAATAAATAAATAAATAAATTAAGCCGGGCGTGGTAGCGCACACCTGTAGTTCCAGTTACTCGAAAGGCTGAGGCGGAAGGATCGCTGGAGCCCAGCAGGTCGAGGCTGCGGTGGCCGGGAGCAGCTACTGCACTCCAGTCTGGGTGACAGAGCTGAG